TTAAAAAAAAGGCCTTATTTGTTCGGAGGTTGGGTGGGCACTCTGGCCTGACACCCACAGGGAAGAGGCTGCTGCTGGGGCTACGCAAGCTTCCCATCAGCTTCCAGGCTGTTTCCGTGGGAACGGTGCTAGTTGATCTGATTCATCTGGGACCACACAGCAGGCTGCCCTCAATGACACTGGCTGGTGCTGAGCCCACAGTTGCTTAAGCTCTTTTAGGCTGTCTGGGTCCTTGTGCTAGAGAAAAGCCTCGGAAAAATGGGGTCCCGGGTATCTGAACATTTTCAGGGAGCCCCTCCCACAGCCGAATTTGTTTAAAAACCACGTTGTGCATCTTTAACGAAAAGGACTGATACGACCAAAAGTAATTTCCATCAGCGGCCCCACAGGAGCCTCTGAGGGCCCCGAACCGAACTGGGCAGCCCCGGTGCTGAACGGATGCCCGTTCCCAGCGGCATTTTGAGGCCTCCAGAGGTTACCAGGCACCTGAAGCTGCCTCTTTGCAAACAGTTTTAGAACTGACTGAGCTACTGGGCTGTTAGAGAAAGAGAAGGCGGCCCCAGGCCTGGAACTCAGCTCTGCCTCCCCCGCCAACCCTGCCCCCTCCTCTGACCGGCCAGTCCCTGTCCCTTAGACTTGCGCCCTCAGGACATCCTGAAGACCCAAATTTCCTGCGTCCCTGGACTAAAGCAGTTGGACAGTTCCGTGAGGTGACAGGAGCCGCAGTCGCCGAGGGGTGCGGCACTTACTCAGGCCTGCCTGGCTTTCCTGCTTGATGTCAGCCAGCTCTCATGCTGGTCAGCTCAGACCGATGGGAACATCCCAAAAGGGATTTAGTAAAAACAAATCTGATTTTGGGGAAAAAGCTATAAAATTCACTCACACCCCACCGAACAATGACAGCAGCTCCCCGAAGCCTGCTGACGGCAAAGAGCTCGGCCTGGACCTTGTGACTTATAATCAATCAGCTTCAGGTGGTTTTTAGAGAACGCTGGCGTTCCTGCAGCAGCTGGCTGCACTCAGTAGCCTTTCCCTGTGTTTCCCTGGCTGAGCCGAGGCCTCCCCTTTCGGATGGACTGTAAACCCCGCCCACTACACAGTTGGTTAATTTGGCCAATCAGCTTGCTTGCTTGCTTGCTCGCCCATAGGTGAGCCATGCAGAAGGAAGATGGTTAATATTTTTAATGTTCAGCCCTGGCAAATGAAGGCCCCTGTACGAAACCCAAAGTCTCCTGCACAGAGCCAGGACACCGGAAAAGAGGCGGTCACAACTGAAGCACTTCAGGGGCCTCGGGGCCTCTAACTGGCCTTCCCGAGGTCCCCCAATCCCAGTGATGGGGCTCCGACAAGTGCAGGGCTCTTGCCAACTGTCCCTCAGCATCGGCTTGGAGAACCTTTTCTCCAAATTGGGCACGATTCTCTCTGTCCTTACTGGACCCTGGTGCCCGGCTCCCGGTGCTCAACCCCATGGCTGGGAAGCAGCCCACTGCCGAGTTGAAACCACCCACAGGCTCCTGCCTCTGAGCCGGCCCCTTTTGCTCAGGCCCTTTGGGGGCGCCCACCCTTCCCTCCTGAGCTCCCATCCCACTCACAGGTAAGCCGAGACATCCTAGAGAAGTGTGGTGCCGGAATTTCTTTTCCTGAAAGGGGGGAATAACCCTAGAATTTGACAGGAGCCGTCAGAAGAGCTAAGCAGCTCGTCACAACTGTACCACGGCCGGTCACCTCAGCCCTGGCGGTGATCTGCAGGACACTCCTCGGGCAGCGCCTGTTTCTCCTGGTTATGGCAGGTCCTTATTTAATGATAAAAGTGGCAAGCACTGAGCTGGGCGTGCTGCTGTAACCCCTGTGCAAGTCCCCGAGGCAGCACTGTCCCCTGTGGCCACCAGCCCAGCGGGCTGGATTAGTTGTGCTCCCGTGGGCTGTGTTTTAGCCGAAGGAAGCTGCCCACATCCATGCTGAGAGTGGGTCTGCCTGCGGACGGGCGCGTGACTTTGAACGCTGTGGAACGTGCCTTCTCTACTTTCGTGGAAACAAAATTAAAAGTGGTCTGTGTGTTTGGGAACTGTTGGAGGCTATGCTTTTACCCAGGATGTTCTAAAACCTGACTCTGGAAGCTACAGGAAATCACCTGGTCACATTTGTGCTAGGAACCAACAGCAGTGACGCTCTGTCATCATAGGAAGGGATGTTTGCCCAGCCGATAATTTAGAAACTGTCCAGAGAGGCCCAACAGCCGGCTCCAGAAAAGGAAAAACGAGCTCGGAAATCCAATTGCTTGTCTCATAAAGGAGAAAGCGACACCAGGCCGGATAACCGCCCCATCCTGCGGACTCTAGTTCCCGCTCCTGACTCCCGCACCTGCCCTAGACCATGATCTGCTCACAGGAGGACAGCATTCGAGGATCCACAGTGCTGGGGAGGTGTTAGCAAGGCCAGGAAAAGCGCCTCCCTCCCTGTCCCGCCTGAGCAACGTCCAGCCCGGGGCACCGGTCCGCACTGCCCTGGACGGTTTAAATGCCCAGGAGACCCCTGGAGGGTGGTGAGCGGGTCTCAGGCAGTCCCCGTCTCGTGGATAATGATAAAGTGAACTGGCACCTTAAGATGCTTAACCATGGAGTTGGGAGGACTATGGGTGGAGCTGGGCCCCTTGTTAACTCTATAATCCTGGCTTCCCGTTTATATTATGGTAATTTCTGGGGGGAGGGATCACAATAGAGGGATTAGCCATCTTGTAACCGGGGTCTTTTGCTGCACATGGGCTGCCGGTTGGGGCCGGTGCCAGAGGTGCACATTCTCGCACTGCGGAGATGGTTTTTCCTTTCTTTTTCCTTTTCCCAAATAAACTGTTTCTTTTGTGGATTACTTGGAGAGTTATTTTTCTCCAGTCAACCGTACAGATACGTCCCAGTCACAGTCTGTGTTCTCTCACTGGCCTGCTGCCTCCCGGTAGCCAGGCCGCTGCCTCTTCTGTGGCTGAAGTCCTGTTAGAGACGCTTATCCCACGGGGGGCGCCCTCTCGAACTGCACAGTGGTGGGGAACCCCCTTTACTGGTCAGGTGCTTCGACAAGGCTGTGCTGTTTGGCCGGTTTTACACTTTCACTGCGCTGACCACCCTCAACGCTCAGGTTTTGTCCAACGAACTCATTGCATTAGCAAGACTAAGCTGGCAAAATGTGTGGACACCTCCAAGCACCTGGGCCCAAAGCTTTGCTGCTGTCCTTCTAAATCCAGACCCACCGCTCTGGGGCTCAGGAACTCTCAGCTCTGGACATAATCACAGGGCACCCTGTGCACCTGGCCCCTGCTTTGCATCCACAGTTGATGGAGAAAACACACTTAATGTGACCGCCTACCTGCTCCCATCGAAGACAGCCATGTTCTGAGGAGACGGATACCCTGAACCTCACACTCTGCAACCTGGGGACCTGGTTGACTGGACGAGGCCTCCACACAGGCTCCCGGCAGTCTGGCTGGAAGGGCCCCCGGCAGGAGCCGTGAACGCACGCCTGTGCTGTTCAACTCCGGGAGCAGACTCTTGCACGCACGTGTCACACCTCGAGAAGCCACCCAGCCCCGGCTGGAACAGCACACGGCCTGGTGACCAGAAACCACAGCTGTCTTAAAAAGGGAGCAGGCGGCCTCCGAAGGAGATGGCTTTCCAAAGCGACCAGGTCGGGCCCGCACAACCTCTTCCTACAGTTGCTTCTCACTTTGTTCCGTTTCCCCTTTTCTGCATTTCCCAAGCGGCTGTGAAAGGGGAACCTCCCGGTGCTCGGTGTCATCAGGCGCCTCCTGC